TCTGGGAAGCTGGAGTGACTGCCAGAGGACTCTTTGAAAAGCCAGTCCTGTGTGTGGGTATCAAGTCCGTCAGGGCCCTTGGTCTCTCCTAGAACCCACAGCTTAAGAGTGGTGAGACTCTGGCACCTTCTGGCAGCCTTGGGCAGAGAGTCAAAACCACTATACTTCTTTCTGTGTTATCTTTGGGAGGATGGGATCCTTGGTTTTTGACATTTTCTGTACAACTCAATGACTCAGGATCTGACCTTCTGCCTCATCTCCACAATAGGGAAAGTTCTGGGTTCCAGGCAAGAAAATGACTGCTGATTATGCGATCTCCACGCTGTTGATGATGCTGACATCACAATCTCTTTCCTTTCAGGCATGCTGCCAAAATTAGAACAAGTAGACATACAGAGGGCTGGTGAAGTGTTCACAAGGGTCAGAGAAAGGAAACTGAGTGACAAATGACAGCATGCAAGACCTGCATGGTCACCTCTCATGAATACCCCTACCCTCTCCCCTCCTGGCACTTTTAAATGACCAAAATTAAGTATGAAAGCATAGGGAGAGAGGGATGACGTCATATGCACAAGAGACCCTGAGTCCTGACTGCTGTCAGTCATGTGTGTGTCATGCACATCACTGTAATAAGACATCCACAAGCTTGTTACACTCTCATAACACAAGTGACTACCTGATCATGATAGGTAGGACCGCCAGCTTACCCCTGACTCCCAGAGCATGGCAATCACCACAGTCAAAATGGCCAGAGACTACCTAAGAGCTGTCCTGTGCCTAAAGGCTACTTGCTGATAATCATAAAGAGGGAAGGCAACCGCATACCATCCATGCTCTCTGCAAAGCGCCTTCTAAAGCTCCAAGATGACCAAGCTGAAGTATGTAGGAAGGAGTGGTTTCTTTCCAAGCTCTATTAACAGCCATAGTGTACTAAATCCAACACTAAGTTCTACATAGGCCAAGTGAGCTTTCCTTCACACTTAACCTAGGCATGTGGCTATGCCTCTAACTGTCCACACCATTCCTGAGCGTTGCTCTGCCACCCTAGGGACGTGCCATTTATAGTACATGTTTGTGATATACTAAGTTTCTGAACTCCTGGGGGAGAAAGCAGACCTGGGTTTTAATTCGCAGTGTTTCTAATGGTGCCAAATTCATTGTATTTCCCCATAGTGGTGGCTTAATACTTGATGGGGGATAAAAGAGACATGATTCATAATTTCAGGGACTTCTCTGAGTGAATGAAGGAAAACCAAGCTGAAGGTGACTTTTGCAACTTTAGAGTTAATGGGATTTGTCAACATCTTGGGCCTCACCTGCTTGCTTGGTGAGAAGCAGCTGGGATGAGCAATTCATTTCCTACTGTAGCAGAGAGGCCTGTGAGTGACTTACCTTGTCTAGGATAATCCTTTAGTAGCCACTCAAGATCAACCACTCAGTGGTTCAGTAAAGACCCAGAAGGCATGGAAGGAACGAGATGAGAAGGATGAAATAAATCCTTGGTCACACAAAGCACTGTGAACTTGGGGGAGGTTGTGGGGGCAACACCAGGAATTCTGCAGACCCTCTTGTATAATAAGATTGGGTACATTGAGACGGGTCCTGCATTTTTTAAAAAAGATCTTTGCCACACAACTTCTAGATGTTCAGACCTATATGAAAGCCAGTGTCTTTCTGGGGGAATTGGAGAAATTCAAGGAGGCTTTTCAGTATGCTCCACTCCTAGATTCAAAAGCTGTTTCACATACCTCAAAGCCTTGCTTTCCGCCTGGTGGAAAGAGTCTAAGGCAGAGAATCAAGAGACAGTTCTGTCAGCTACCAGCCATCTGACCCTAGACAAGAGAGCCACTTAACCTCTCTACTTCAGCCTCTTCGCTGGGGAAACAGGGAAATTAGCACTTAATGCAAACGTGCACCAGCGTTGTAAAACTAAGGAGAACACCAGACTTGGGGCCACAAAGCAGGGCTCCCGGGCTGCGGCTCCCTTTCATCGGGGATACATGATCTCCCCGTTTGTTGGACGTCAGTTAGGAAGGAATCCAGAAGGTGTCGAAATTCAAAGACAATGCCCATGGTTAAGTGGCTAGAGACCTAGAGAATCCACAGTGCCCCAAGCTTTCCCAGATACACACCTGTGTCTGGGAACAGTACTAGCACTCTTTCAGAAACCATAGTCCTTAACTGTGGCCTGACCAACCCTGCGCCTCACTGCAGTGTCTTCCGTCTCTTAGCTTCCTTCTAACTCAAAGTCATCTCCTTGAGGATTCCATGCACTGACACTGTCTCTACTAGTCAGGGCCACCTAGCACTAGTCCTCCTCCATCAACTGTGCATGCCCTATTCCTATTCTCTAGGTTACCAGGGGTCCATGGCAAGGTTCAGTTCCATTCCCACCCTTCTAGGCTCCTCATTGGTCCACGAATACCAGATCTAAATGATACAACCAATTTTCTCAGTGCAGTCCTTGCCAACAAGGTGATGATCTAGACCACCACTGGTGTCTGGAGTTGGTGTTGGTGCTGGTGCAGGTGCAGAGAATGAAGCCATGTGAACTTGAGTGGGAAGTTGAGTGTTAAGGAGAAAGGATGGTGGCTTCGATTGTGCTACCTACGGCAAATGTCCTTTTACCCAATGCTTTAGTCAACATAAATAATTTTAAAAAAATCTCTAAGTGGTTTTGAACAAGAAACCGTAAGAAACAGTCACCACAAAAGACCCTGCCTGTATTTCCTCCTGACAGGATGCTAACTTTCTGAGGAAGAGTATCTAAGATTTGTGAGTGAGTATGTGTGTGTGTGTGTGTGTGAGAGAGAGAGAGAGAGAGAGAGAGAGAGAGAGAGAGAGAGAGAGAGAGAGAGAGAGAGAGAGAGAGAGAGAGAGAGAGAGAGGGGTTTACAGGAGCCATGTAGGTGACAAGAACAAATCCAAGCTGTGGGAGATTCCTGACATGTGGATGCTGTCCAAGCCCAATGGCAGCACTTACGCTCCTGGGCTCCTGTCTGCTGGAGTGGCCATGCCAGGTAGGCTCAGGTCTAGGGTATAGAGACATTTGGATATGTGCTCACCATTCTCAGGGACATGTGTTAAAGGAATCGGCACTCGATGGGACAGGATGAGTCCATTGTCTGGACTTTGGACAAGTCTTCACAGAGCAGGGTGGGGGATGGGGAGGGTACTACATAATCTCCATACTTTAGGATTACTTTGATGTCCATAGGTACTCCAGAGCCTAGGGAGGGGATTCCTCTCCCAAAATCCACTGTTAATCCCTAGATACGATTGCCAAATTACCATGCTGGAGCCCCAAATACAAATATATTTTTTTAAAGTTACAGTTGCTGCTTCTGTAGTTTATTATACTTATTTGATTAATTTCATTATTGAATTTTAGGTTGCCATACAATCAACAGGTTTCAACACAGCATCTGCACACGCATGTGTCAGTATTAAATTCATAACAGCTGTTTTACTTAGGCATGGCAAGGCATCTTCTGTCGCGTGGTGTAGACTGCACTGGTGTTCATCCCCAAGGAAGACAAGCCCAAGGGAGCCAGCGTGGTTGTTTCTGCCACACTAAGCTGTCATTCAGGCACTATTTCTGAAGCTGAAGCAATGCAAACACTGACACAGACTTTCAGTCTGCATTTCGGATTGCAGAAATTGCAGAGGGAAACATCCCAGGAAGTTTACAGAGCAGCTCTTGTCATGGCATCCAGAGAGTCCTGGGGCTCAATTCATATGGACAACCTATCCCTTAGCTCTCCGAGGCTTCTGGTTTGTGGCACTTGTGACAGAGGACTATGGGCTGCCTTCTTCAGGGCTGTGCAAGAGGCCCCTAGAGCAGACATGCAAGGTCAGCAGCTCTGGGGCTCAGTACACTTATACTGAGGACAGGGTGGAGGAGATGAGGAGGGTAAGGGACTCCCTTGACTTCTGGCTACCATGGTTGAACTAACACCTGTCCCTCTAGGATTTATGCAAAGTGGCATTCCCAGCTCTGATGATAATAAAAATCAAAATATCTATGAAGTCTGAAAAATGCTAAAGATGCTCTGTGTCTTGTGGTATCTGACACCCAGACAAGATTTAATTCCTTACAAAAATAGAGAAGCATCTATCCCATGGGCATGCAGATATGCTCTTGTCTCCTAAAAATGCGTGTGTGTGTGTGTGTGTGTGTGTGTGTGTGTGTACATGCTATGCATATGCAGTGCCCTTGGAGGCCAGAAGAGGGCACTGGAGTCCTTGGAGCTGGTGTGGCAGGTGGTTGTTAGTCATCTAACATGGGTGTTGGGAACAGAACTCTGGTCCTCAGAGCAGCAAGTGCTAAGAGCAACTAAGCCATCACTCCAGCCCCACTTCTGTCTTTAATAAATGGTGAAAAATATACGTATGCAAAAGAAGTTTTTAAATATACTATCATTTACTATTTATAGATCTGAATATTCTATATATCTTTATACATGGAGCCTCCTCACAAATGTTGGGACACCTTACTGAGCCCCACTGGTCCTCGTTGCTTCTATGTGCTGTGGGTTCACAAATTCTTTCTCTATTGGGAGTTAGCACCTTGCAATCCACAGTTGTGGACAAACCAGGAGAATGTTCAAAAAAAAGCTTGGCAGACGAGGAAAGAGAAAGCAGTTGAAGAACAGGGCAGTCTCTGGGAGTGGAAACATCTGCTCCAGAGAGAACTCTGCTATCTCACTAACAAAACTTGGTGTTAATACAACAGTGTTTGAAGTTTTGGTTTTGAGATTTCTGAAGTTTAGCTGCATACCTCCCATATTGTGTGTGTGTGTGTGTGTGCTCGCACGCGCGCGCATATGTGTATGTATGCACATATCTCCACATGCATGAATGGAATAAAAACATCTACATTTAATTGCAGGAGCCACTTCAGAAAGTCCACATCTGGCCATCAGGCAAACAGCGGACTTGGAAAAGCAAGGCCATTTCCACAGTATAGACACTCACCCTGGGAGCCTGGGGACCCTTACCTTCAGCAGTGCCCGAGAGCCCGTCAGCCTTGAAGTTGCTGGTACTTTTCTTCCTCCGGTGCTTCTTTCTGTTGGCGTGGGGGGAGGGGGGTGGGTCAAGCTTGGGGCTGGTGCTGCTGGAGATACTTGGGCTGGAACACACCGAGTCACCCAGCCCCGTGTCTGCAACCGAACCAGAAAAGGCAAAAGAAAGCAAAGGTGAGCTCACAGCACAGAGCACTGAAAAGGAGGCAAAGCCCACTCAAACAATGTCCTCCAGCAGTGACACATGAGATCATCCCGCCATCTTTCCCGAGACGCCTGTGCACAAGGCGGCTGGGTACGAGGCCCAGGGCTTCGCCAGGGAACAGATCTAGGCACATTTGCCATGTGCACCTCCCAGCCCACAGCAGGCGCTGGAAGTCCTCTGTTTCCAGCTCTTAGAGCCTCAGGCTCACACACATGACATCAGGGATAGCAGGATAGTGAACTTTAGATCCTGGAGGTCCCCTTTTATTCCCTTACTGACCCTGATGTACCAGGGACAAGATACTGACACGTACAAACCACAAGGAAAGACTTGTTCTGAGTGGGTGTGAAGCTGCACACGGAGGGTGAACGCTCCCTGACCACCTTCTCCTGGCAGTGCTCCACAGGGCTGTGACTTCACCTGGGATCGGCCAGAGGTGGTAGGTACAACAGGCCACAACTCTCAGCAGCAGCCTGCAGGAGTGTCTCCAGTCAATACGGTATAGCAGCAGGCTGACGAGTCCCTCAGGCTCTGCAGAGAGGCTTCAGGGCCAATAGACAGTGTTTTGCTTTAAATAAAACTCAATTGATTATTTCCTTTGTCTTCAACAAAAAGACTGGGAAGAATCAGATTAGTACACTGTGCGGGGGACAGAGGAGCATGGGTGGTGCACCTCCCCACTCCCTGAGTTTTTAGAGTCCCTTTGTCGTGAATCGGGAGTCTTGTAATTGACTCGTATCTGCGTGGCTCCTGCTTTCCGAATACTGCCACCCCAAAAGCTGGGGATCCGTCATGGGCAAACCACCCTGAGATCCGTGCTGACGACGGGTACCCACCACCTTCTGTCCATCACTTCTCCCAGGCTCCAGGATTTCCAGCTCATGCAGCTGATTACTCTCCCAAGGGGATCGGTACCACAGGGAGAGCCAGCAGCCCTGAGTCCCACTCCAGCTTGTGGTTTGGCAGGCTGGCTCCAGGGGTGGTGGTGAGGGTAATGGTTTAAATGAAAACAGTGGTCCCTGGCTGGGCACAGTGGCACACACTATTATCCCAGCACTTAGGAGGCAGAGGTAGGAGTATCTGAGAGTTCTAGAACTACATAGTAAGACCCAGTCTTGCTAAAACAACAAAACCCAACCAACCACCCAACCACCCAACCAACAAAACATCACCACCAAAACCAAGAAACCAACAAAACAAAACAAGACAACTCTTAAACAGTCTGTTTCCCCAAAGTCCTCATCTAGTCTAGACGGGTACCAGACTCCAAGATGGTCATCATCCTGGAGTTTCCCTTCTGAATGCTATCTAGTGCTGACGGTGAGCACTTTTGCTCTTAAGTATTTCAAGTCCAGATTTCAAATGATGTACCCTGCCCCTGCCCAGTGCCAGGCCCACTGACAGTGGCCCATGACTGCCCTGTCCTCCACTGGAGTGCTCACTCATCAGACAGGGAGGCAAAGCCACCCACTGAACCTACTTGACCACATTCCCGGGCAATAAGCCTGAGTGTCCCACTGTCCTGCTGCTCCAGTTCTATGGCCTCTGTGACTGTGTCAGGAATCCTTTTTCCTAAGCTTCCAAGGCAATCTCCACTCCGGGGTCTGACACGGGACACTCTTCACTAGGCTGTTAGTGGTATAACGCTAACTACAGCTTCTTCAGGGCAGTTGTGGCTTCTCTCCCCCAGTGCCCTGTAATGCTCAATGGGGGTGTGTGTGGGAATTGTTATTAAACTACTCTCTACCACCCAACATATGCCAGCATCTGTCTGAGACACTTACAGCACATGCATGAACTACACAGAGAATGGGACAGACTTCCACACATGTGTATCGACCTCATCATCCTCTCTTGTCTGTGCGTTCTCAGCACACAGACCATCTTGAGTGCTGTCTGTGGATCTGGAAGCTTCCCTCGTTGTTGTTATTTACAACTTTCTTACAGGTCTACGTTGTTTGGAACACAAACCTCTATGTCCACAGCTGAGTTGATGAAAATGGTTCTGAGCAGGGTGGGGTTGGGACAGAGGTTCATGTGGTCACTGTCACCTGTCCACACATGGAGGCCTTTAAGAAACAACACTGAACTCAGGCAAGGCATTTACCTCTGTAGACTAGCCACAGGCTGTAAGGAATAATGGAACAGTTGTACGAACAATTGTCCTGCAACTTTGAACTTGCCAAGGAGCAAGGGGAGCAAGGTGACATACACCTACAATTCCAGAACCCAGGAGGCTGCGGCAGGAGGAACACTGAGTTTAGGTCACCCTAGGCCAGACAGCTGTTACCAGGCTAGTGAAGCCTACCTCATAAGACACAGCCTCAGAAATGAAACAAAACGAAATGGAAACGAAGACAATAAACTATTTTTCCAGGTAACACCTCAAAGGCCAGAGGTACCCAACTTACAGTTTTGATAATCAAGAAAAACTAAAGGGGCACAAAATTCAGTTTTTCTTTTTAGTGAACTGTCCCTATTCAAATAACTCACTGTTTTCTGTGTGCATGCAAATACCTTTTTGAAAATCTTCCCATTCTACTTGGGCAGGCCTCGAACTCACTGGCATATGGGTCAGGATTCACCTTTCTTGGGATGACAATCCAATGTATCTGTCTCCAGGAAACTCCTTCCCTTCCTACCACAGACAGCCTTTTCTAAACTAACAGGAGGGAGCACACCATCTCATCTCCAGGTGTCTCAGTGTCTACGGACTGCCATTATTCTGGCAGAAACTCTTGACTTTCATGGAGAAGTGGCAAGTGACAATCTTGAGAGGGTGACAATACTGGCAAGAAATGCCACTCACCTTCTTCCCCTGAGAGCCCAGTAGGCCAGGGCACTGATTTGCCCTGCACCGTCCCTCTCCCCAGCATCCTTCAGGATGGTGCTTCTGTTCTGTTTCTAGAATCTCTGCTGGCCTATCTAGTTCCTTCTCAATCAGAAGTACTTCCCAGGCCCACGTGACAATGACTGGAGACAGATGTGAATACCACAGCAAGCAGGGTTGTGGTCCTACAGATACCCAACATCCAGATATTGGGAAGTGGCCTATAAGCCCAGGGCACCCCAACTCATGGGACCCTCGTCAGTTCTGTCCCTCTTCCTTTGGACATCCTGTCTTACAGGGCACCATCTTCTTGGAAAGCTCATTCCACTCTGTGCACCCTGGAAGCCAGCTCTCTTGGAGATATACCTACCATGCTACTGGGTTCTGACTCCCACCCTTCACACTCCAACAAAAGTTGAGGCTCCTTTTTTATCCTGGCCCCTTGGAAGCTATGCCGTTGCAGAATATTCTGCTCTACAGATCCTGGGTCAGGGATTTTCCATTTCCACAACAGCTCTTCTGTCTTCTTGTTAAGTCACTCCACCAGGTGAAGTCTGGTCCCCATTCCTCCCCCTGCCAGACCTTTTCTTTCCTGATGCCTCAGCAGCCTTCATTCCCTGGTGTCTTCAGGGTCTTGCAAGCTACTCCTCCCCCCCAACTCCCTCCACTCCAGGAGCTCATCCAGCGATCTCTCACCTTCAAGGTCCAATCTTTGCTGCAGGTCCAAACATTGTTAACTACTGGAAACATCTTTGAAAACTCAATTTCCCAAGTTTCCCTCCATCTTTCCTCACAGGAAGCCTAACTTCATCTAATTTTCTTTTAAGGTCATGGAGGCAGCATCATGATGACTCTGCCTGGGTCCCTTATGTACCAGAACCCCTGCTGCCCTGAGCTTCTCACACTTCAGTTAGAAGTCTATTCACCACTCTCCTAGATGTTCATCAATGGCTCCTCCTGTCACCCCCCACCTCCCGGCATCCCTCACCTCACTCCAATCCCCACCATCTAACTGACTGAACCAACACACACACTCTCTCAGACACAAGAACCCCACTACTCCCTGAGGCCTGGCAGGCTCTGGCACTCCTCACCCTGTGAGGTGGGTCCCACTCTAGCCTAGACAGTGACTTTGGTCCCAGAATTTCACCCTTCCTCTTACCAAGCGCCTCCCTTGCCCACTCTCCCTTGTTACGACTTGACTTCTGTTGCTCTCTGAAGCAAAGTTCACTAAAGCATTCCTCCTCACTGCTGGCCACAGCTGTCTACACCAGTGCCCCTGACAGGGACCACTTCAGTGCACAGGCCTCCAGGGGCAGCATCTGTTTCTCCTGCCTCTGCTGTGGCTTGTCCCTCCATGGGAAGCCACAGTGAGGTCTGCATGGGAAGGCAGGGAGGAAACCACACAGCAAAGGAGGGTGCCTGTGAGAGGCGGCCCACAGTCTGCACAAACCACTGTCCCTCCCTGCCTCACTGACTTGGCTCTCTCCACATGGTGACAAGTGTCTGTCACAGGAGCATCACTGGCTGGCTCTGATCTGTGTTCTCCCTCTTCACCAGGATGACAGCTATGGGTGAATGCTACCTGCACTTGCCAGTTTTACTGAAGAACCGACTGCCTGAGGTGCGGGCCCAGGTGGGAGGGGACGTGTGGTCTCTGGTGGAACAGCAGAGTGCAAACAACTCTGCCATGTCCTTAAAAACTCACCACAAGCATGCTTTTGTGCCCACCACTGCCCTGCAAGTTTCCAACCGTCCGGAAGCTATTTTTAGGTGAACGACTACAGCCATGAATGGAATCTATTGACAGTGAGAGTCTCCCTTACACTCAGCCTATACTTATTGAGCATGCTCTCTGAGCTAGCAGCTGTCAAAGAATAAAGGGCAGAACCCCTGTCCCCATGGAGCCGATTTCTAAAGCCTGGAAAGAATGCCTATCTAATTTCTTGCTTGATGCCTTCAATAGAAGACTGTTTTCCTTGGGCCTTGCCAATGGAGCACAGAATGCTGAAGGGGCCCCCATCTGCAGCAGGCATGCCTACCCCACAGATAAACAGACAGAGGAGTAAGAGAGGACTCATCCACAGATAGACTGTGATTCTG